GTGTTAAACAGGTCTCCATACCTAGCTAACCTCGTTATGTCGGATACTGGGAGAATGTTCTTTCTTTTCCTCGGGGAGTTGATTATGGACCTCCAAACTTGACCTTGCCTCAATCATGCAGTAGAGAATTGCGGCGAATCCGACTATACGACACGGTGAACACTGAACGAGTCTTCTTTGTGGTCACAGAGTTGCAAGAGGTTAGCCCATCTCACGCCTTTAAGATGGTATATATGATAACTTAATGAGGAGAGTCCACACAAGAGTTTGACCATGTTGCTTGTGTTTCTTTTTCTGTATTTAAATTTGACTTTTTAATCTATTTAGAATTGACTTTCTAATGCTTATTAGGAGATCCTGACACTCAAGGGAAAATATTAATTAATCCCTTTGGCTCGGCTATACAACATGGTGTTTGAGCTTAGTTCGAGCTCAAGCCAAGCTCTCACCACAGTGTTTGAGCTCAGCTCGATAATATTCGCCACAAATTCGAACCGAGCTCGAAGCTCCTTGACAAAAAGGCAAAGACACGTTGATTCCATCATGTATGCGTCACACACACACACACATTACATGGATGCATTCAGGAAAAACGAATTACATCATCAGAGATTTCCCCAAAAAAACTTTCTATATAAGATTATAAATTCTCCACTTATCTTCACTCCAATCTTCTCTCAGATCTTCAAAGTGGTGTTCCTGTAATGCTTTCCATGTTTGCGTGTGAGAAAAGACACACAACGCTGGTTCCGGTAGGAGTGTGTGAGAGAGACGCCGGCGGCGATTTGGAAGATGAATAGGAGAAGGATGAGGTTAGATTTGGTTAGGGCTTTTTCATATATATGGGCTCATGTATCCTTAGTTGGGGACAAGATATTTCACTTTATGAGGGTCTTATATATAAATGGACCTTAGGCTCTCTCATTTTTAGATAGATATTAATGTATAAGTTTTCACTATTAGGTATATATTAATGTGTTATATATTATATGTGTGTGTGTGTATATTGTGTGTGTATATAAAAGTACATGTGTTGACGAACGCATTTACGAGCTTTGTTCACAAACACATTTACGAGCTTTGTTCACAAACATGATCACGAACAAACGAGCCGAGCAGTAGGTTGTTTGAGTTTAGCTCGTTTCTTAATCGAGCTTGAAAATTCTATTTGAGCACGATTCGTTTATTTTACAAACAAATATAAAGTGAGCTCTTAACAAGCCGAGTTCGAGCCGTTGGTTGAAAGTTTGGTTCATTTTATAGCTGTTATCTGTTTTTCAAACTGATTTAAAATTGTTTGATGCCATGCGCCACGTTTCTGTCTAGTTCTTGGTTAAAACTATTTAATGAGATTTCCAAACAGCATATGCTTGCTAGTTTCTGTTTTTTTAATTTGCCTTTTTCTTTCTTATATATTTTGCTTGTTTGATGGGATATCCTGAAATCGTCGAGCGTGTGAACCCTTTCCAATTTGGTCAATGGATGGAGCAAAGAAGTAATAAATATTAGGGATAATTTCACTGACACCTCCAGTAGTTTGGCTAAATATCAGTCTAAAACATCTTTCGAAAATAACTATCACTCGTATTACAACCGTTTGTTCCGTTTTTCACTCAGACCCCAAAAGTTAGTTGACGGGTGTGTCAGACCACTTTTTACATATAAAAAGACATTCTTACCTTTTTACTTTGGTTTGACCCAATAAATTGTTTTTTAATGATTAAAATTACATGTTTACCCTCATTTGACTTTAGGTTGATTATTCAAATGACATATTTACCCTTCCTTTTCTATATACAAGAATAAATAAAGTAGGTGATCAACATCATACAATTTGGTATTGAGGGCTATTCTACGCCATATAAGTATTCGGTTCTATATTTTTTTAAAGAAATTAACGAAATTTTAAGTAAGAAAATTTTATTTTTTTAAGGAAATTAATGAAATTTAAAAAGAGAAAGAGAAAAATAAGAAAAATTTTAAAAACTAAAATAGAAAAATAAAATGAGAAAAATCACCATTCATATATTTTTTTAAGAAATTAATGAAATTTTAAGCAAGAAAATTTTATTAATGAAATTTATAAAGAGAGAGAAAAATAAGAAAAATTTTAAAAACTAAAATAAGAAAAATCACCCATTCATATATATATTTTTAAAGGAAATTAATGAAATTTTAAGTAAGAAAATTTTATTTTATTTGGGAAATTAATGAAATTTAAAAAGAGAGAAAAATAAGAATTTTTTTTTATAAGTGTTTGGTTTTATAATCAATCATCCATTCACATATTTCATCATTTCAGATATATATATATATATATATATATATATATATATATATATATATATATAGAGGCTTGTCTTCATATTTTTTGGACAACAAAAGCCCTTGCTTTTTATTGTTTAACGAATGAATTGAAGTCTATTTATGTCATTTTAAATTTATATTTAATTTTTTTTCCTCATCTGTCTAATTCATCTTCGTCTCTTTCTCTCTCTATCATAAACAACAACATATACACTTTCTATACATAACTAATTGGTGCCATAAACCATAAACTCCAATACTAGAATTCCCAAATCAATTAGTAAATACACTAATTAATAAATTGAAAGAAACAATTAATGAGTTTGGTTTCTCCAAAATTGATTAATTACCAAAATATATATATATATAATAATAATACAAAAATTCATATACACAATAAACCATATAGAGTGTTTGACACTGTCTTTGATCGTGTACAGAGGAACAATGATGTCTCTGTTCTTGATCTACAGCAAATCGAAGAGGAATAATGAATTGGCAATGGAGTTTTCGTTAGTGGATCGGATTAACACGGAGTGCAAGAAATGGTGAGTCTGAGTGAAGAAGCTCATAGCAGAAAAGTGCGTGTATTCAGATGGAATGAGAAGCTCCGTAAGAATGGAGTTATGGAGGGTAAAGCACTTTTCATGTTCCGTATCAGCAACAAATTCATAACCATTAACCACCAACAAGAAGAAATCACCGGAAATTTAGAGAAGGTTGTTACCTTCGAGCGCATAAGGCTCTGATCTGATGATTCCATCAAATCGCTTGCTCTAGACGTCCTTAACGACACAAATCAATTCCTACCTAACACCATCGTATCCTTAGCTCATCAGATTTCTACATACCTCATCTCTCAATTTCGCTTTAGCCCCAAAAATCTTCTTCGCCGCAATTTGCCCAGAATCGTCACAGTCGTTGACGTTGATGTCGAACGGCCAATTATGGCTTCGGCACTACTTCATCTTTCTGAAAGGGAAAGAGAATTTTAGGGAAGAGTCGTCCTTCAGAGATAGAGGAGAGAGAAATACTGTGTAGGGGTATATAAGTCATTTCTATTATCTAATGTTTTAGAATAAATGTGGTAAAAAAATTAGGGACAAACATATCTTTTTCATGTTTTTAACGGTGACAGTAACAAAAAAGTGAAAATGGACTTATAGTTATTTTTAGATTGATATTTGGCTAAATTACGAAAGATGTCAGTCAGTGAAATTATTCCTACATATTAATTGACGAGGCACACTTATCAAAAAAATATGTGTGCGCGGGCGGGCACACATATAGTTTAGTTATGGGATTTCATTATTGGATGGGAACTACCATGTACTTATTTCCAACTGTGGAAGTTGCCAAGAGTTGCTGTAGGTGAATTGAGAAAGGCAGAGACCAGATAGCCCTCGCTATTATTTCTCTTTCATCGAGAGATATGAAGAAGGGAAGAATTTGGGATTGGAAGAACCTCGTCTGGTTGTTCAAATGGACACAGAGAGTCCTGTAATCTACCAGAAAATCTGTCTCGGCTATTACTTTGAGAAACCCGTACAAGTAAGACGTGATAATACATTTACTTAATTTTGTCTCTGTATAATTCACCTTGACAAATTGAGGATCCAGCAGGAATCAATTGAAATTTTGGAATAAGTTGCTGAAAACATAGTGAAAAAGGTAGGGAAATCAAAGAAATTCAACTGAGCAAAAAATTCCCGAATAATATGGTAAAAACTATTAATATGATGAGATTCTAGGACCTTGGATGACCCGTTCTGGGCGACCTCGGTAGTAGCAGCAACAGTAGAAGAAGCCATGAGAGATGGAGAGACTAGAGAGTACGTTATGGCATGATATAGCAAGAAGGGGGTTATATTCGTACAAGGGATAATTCCAGAAGAGTATAGGAGAGGCTACAGGGAATTAAGACCTTCGAGGAGAGTATAGGACGTCTTTTCTATACTTGCTTCAATACAGCATGCTACAGGTGGATTTTTCTTTGTCACCTACTTTAAATAGGGAGAAATTTCAGCCCACTAAGGCGTCTAATGAAATGCTTATTTCTGGAGAATTCTATGATTTCAATTGTCTAGAGTTGTGCAGTAACTCTAGGACATGGCAACACCCAATTTAGCGACGGAATCTTAAAGGGGCATTTTCGTGTCTGCGTCATTTACAAAGACATACTAGAGTGATAGGATGTTCCATACATTGGAGTGTTTTGAATACATATTTCTCTTCTTAATTTTAGGCTCTAGTCTGTCATCATGACACGCTTGTCGGAACCATCTATAAGACTGTCAACAACTAATTCTATTTAATTTTGATTTATAAGTATTTTTCTGGTCCGGATGCGGGATTTGGATAAAATTGGAAGCAAAGGGAAGTCAATATGCATTCTTCCTGGAGCTGCTATTCGGTCCGGCAAACAGCTCATTCTTTGCTCCATCCATTGACGAGTTTAGTGATTAAATCCTTAAATTTGTTTGAATGGATCCATTTAAATCTGTAAATTTGCATTCCTCCCTGTAAATCTTTTTCAGAGGCTGTCTCATTTGGTGAAGCTCTTAATTTAGCTGTCTCGCCGTCTAGTTTTTGTTTTTGATGACGGAAGCCAACAGGAATAACGACAAGTTTTGTATTTACAACTTCAGGGCATTTTATAAATGTCAATTTATTTTCTCATGTTGATTATGTGTGTGCGCGCGCACGGTTCCATATTTCTTTATACATTATTCTTCTAACCATTGCCAATTTGTATATCTAAATTTCACGACTCCCAATTCCCAAATATCCATTTACTTACCGAGAAAACAAAAAGGGCAAGAGAATGAATGTGAAATTTACAAATTTTCCATTCCAGGTCCTCCACAATTATAATTGCATGGAGGTAAAATGAAGACGATTCGAGAGATCCACTTACGAGCATTACTAGCATCATCTTCAGTAGCTTACTAGTTGACCCTCCTTGACAATGTAATTTTGTGGAGGAAAATCTTCACCCTTTAAGTACCTCTTTAGCATATCCTTCACTCCAGCCGCATATTGCAACTAGCGTCATTTCAATATTTTTATTGGAGTTACAAACCAGAAACAGAACAAAAGAAGAAACAATACTGTAATACAATAACAAAGGAAAATTAAAAGCTTGAATACCTGCGCATCAATGGTCGTGCCAGAAATATGAGGGGTCATAGCTTGGATTGGCATGCATTTCCAATGCCGAGATGGGTGTGGGTACCAAACATACCCACTGTAACCTACCAATTCAGAATTAAAAGGAAAGCAGTAGTTGATTACTACTATTGCAGTCCCTCTACTCACAAATTGAATATCTCAACTTGTATTCCATAAAGATAGATAACATCCATATCCATAAAATTCACAATGTTGAAATTACCTGCAATTTGTCCGCTAGAATAAGCATCAACAACTGCTTGTGCATCTGTGATTGCTCCCCAAGCATTGTTAACAATTAGAACTCCCTTCTTCAGCTTAGCAATCCTATCTTTGTCAAACATCCCTCTGTAATTAGTTTTGATTAGAGTATAAACATGTCGCCAATAGTGTTAAAAAATGAAAGCAAAAGACCAACATTATTTTGAACCACATAATAGATTGAAAGAAGCATTAACATATCATATAATGTGGATTAGGTCTCGGAATTGTTATTCACCTCACAAGTACATATGGACTGATGGACATTATACATCTTAAAGTGAAGAAAAGAATCCAAGCATTTTAAGTTCCAAACTAGCAGTGGTGAAGCAGTCACCAGTGAGCTGCCTTGATACGTCACTTGGCAATACCGTTTAGGAATAAAACAAACAGAAAAATGTAATATTTAAGTATTTATAAAAAATAAAAATTTTAAAAATAATAACATAGGCAACTATAAATGTTGTTTTAAGTTGTAGTTCAGAACTCAAAATTTTGATCTCATTAAATAGTAGCAACCGAGGATATAAATTCACAAATGCCCAAAAAGAACTAAACACATGCTTGATGGGCTTCCAATTAAGATAATCATAAACTGCTTGCGCTGAAGGCAGGTCACCCATTCAAAACATTGCAACAATTTTGGCCAATTCAAGAGGTTGGATTGAATTCCCAACATTTATTAGATGTTAACAAGAACAATTGAGATTTATATTGCCCTACGTTTGAAACATGTCATAACTTCATCTAAATTTATCGTCCATATGCATGTTAGTTTCCCATTTACTAATTTCAAAATTAAAAAGAACTCTAGTTGAAGGCGGCTTGGGTGTGAGAGGAAAGACTTACTTTGTTTTCTCCATGAGAGGTGTATTGATGACAATTATGTCACAATGGGCAATCATTGAGTCAAGATCCTCCTCGAACTTTGCCCCTGTTTGATTCTCCAATTCTGAGTCCATCTTGACCCAATCATGATATAGGAGGTTACAGTTGAAAGGCTCCAAACGTTGAAGTAAAAGCCTGCTAATACGTCCAGCGCCAACAATTCCCACCGTCTTTCCTTCAAGATGATAAGCTCTATGAGCAATAGCTGTAACATTCCTCTCCCTGCTGAAAACTTGATGGTATCGAGGCAAAAGATTCTTGACAAGTATGAGGATTCTCATGAGCTCATCATCTGCAACAGAGACTACATTGTTTCCAGTGACGTCTACAACTGTTAAACAAGCAGCAGCTGCTGCCTTCAAATCAACAAGATCAGAACCAATTCCAGCTGTGAGCACCAGTTGCAATTTTTTGGCCTTCTTGATCCTTTCAGCCGTTGCATAGGTCGGATGGAAAGGGGTAGTTATCAGCACGTGGAGATCAGGAATATGCTTTTCAAGTTCTGCAACAAGGAATCATTAAAACAGAAGATTTTGTTATTCTCTATAACCAAGAAGCAATAACTTCGCAACACACTATTTTAACCATATTCCTTTTCAAAAATTTCAATTAATAAAAATTAGAAAAAATAGCTTTTCGTCTTCATCTCAGTTATTTGATGTTACTTGTTCCCTGCTAACGTGTTATTCAGGTTCACATGCACAAAAGTACATACATTATATAGAGTAATTTTGTCTATGCACTTACCACAATCAGATCCATCTTTGCCGTCGATGACAATGTACTGGTGACCTTGTGATTCCAACCAGTCCCGAATGCCCAAGGCTCCTTCTACACAGCTTGTAAAGTTGGGCTCTATCGAAGCACATTCATTAGCTTTGTAAGAGAAACCAATGATCTTTTTGCTTCCATGAGAAAACTGTTTGCGATAAGATAGAAAAATGACCACACCAATCATAAAAGAAAAACTGAAGAAATTTACTTCTAACTTAAAGCTTGTCTGGAATTTGAATGGCCTTATTCTCAATTTATATAGCATTTTAATATAAAGAGTCATTTGGAAAAAAAAATGGCCAACTAAAAAGAAATGTTTAAAATCACGAGTTTTCATTTCAGAAAACAGAAATAAAACCACGTAGGAGGAATACAGTGGATTTCCAATTTTTTCCAAGTTGAGTATATTGAAAATCATGCATTTCTACCTTAAATTGTTACTGAAAATGTGATCGGAAGCATTCAATAACGGGGACAGTCAAGCAGCTCATGAAGCACAATCCAAAGCATGTTTTAGTTTAGTTATCACAAAATATTTTGAGAAACATTTTTCAGGTAACTGGAAAAAAAAAATAAAAAAAAAAAATAAAAAAAAATAAAAAAATAAATAAAAATTGTTATCATATAACAGTTTCCAAAAGCTGCCAATAAATGAATTTCAAACTGTTTTCAGTTCTCTCACCCATGTCATTCAGAACCTTCATCTGATTCATGCAACTCTCTTTCACACACAAGCAAATTCACACAACTTAGTTTAAAAGGAAATTTGTGAAAGAGACAAATATTATACCTTAGAGTTTAAGCCACAGAAAATCGGCGTACAGGAAATCTTTTTCTTACTCAATTTGTTCCACCAGGGATCTTCAATAAACCCGTAAGCAAAATGTATCCATCCAATAAATTCACCCAAATCCTTTTTCAAGGGTAAATCACACCATGTGAGGTCATTCATCACCCTCTCATTCCAAAACTGATTTAAAGATTTGTACACTCCACCAATGTACTCGTCATTTTTGGAATTGGCATCCTTCCGGTATAACTTGATAGAAACCATGACCCCTTCTTGATCAACCTCTGACACGTCTAATGTGAAAAATAAGACGGAATACCAAAGCGAGCTTCTCATGTTAAGCGAGCTGGTTCGAGTTTTCTTCACTCTATGCTTCCCAACTGCAACTGAATGTTAACAGTATATAAATAATTAATTTACACCCTAATAAGTTGATAAATATGCATAGAATTGGAACATATATAGTTGTTGACTTTTAATAAAACCTGTAGTGTAAGCATGCATTTGGGAGTTTTCAGTGCACTCTGGAAGATGAGTTGCATAACAGATGCAGATCCTGAATTTTACCATGCGGGAACTCATACTGAACTGTTATACTGAGAACAAGTTAGGGAAGCACAAAAAGACGAAACTCTTATCACAAAAACTTCTGTTTGTATGCATATATACAAGATAAATTAGATTTTTTTGACCAAAATTAAAGATAATAGCTTTAAACCGACCTTGAAGTTATAGAAGGCCAAATAGTTGTCAATCCTAAAATTATGTTCCACTTAAGTGACCATTGAATCTAAATTTCACACATACCTCTTTTGCACTCTCCCTCCCATGCTTCTCCCTAGGTTCTGCACTCAAATTCCTATAATTTGTTTACAACACCAAATCCTCCTTCACAATTTATATTGTCAAAATTAATTAATTAAACAATCACCGGTGAATAGGTGTGGATTCACTGACTCACACATCTAGAAGGCATACAAACAACTTATAATTGGTGGTACAACACAACAGGTCAACTCCTCAGTGAAGCACTCTCTCACCGCATGTCAAACTCATTTAACGCCGGCGTGTTTGAGGATGTGTTTTCTGGATACTCCAACCGGAGAAGTCGGTTGCTAACGCCAGAGAGGATTGGCACGAGGAAGACGAAGGACCAAAGTGTGAATTTTGGGAGGGATATACTGTAACAACCCTCACTCTAGCCAGATACAATATTGTCCGCTTTTGGCTCTCCTGGACCAGAAACTTTCCGAGGGGTCACCCATCCTAGTACTACTCCAGTTTAGTACGCTTCACTCTGGAGTTCTAGTGGGTTCACAACCATTACGGCTTTAAAACGCATTGTGTCATAGAACAGTGTTAAATCTACATATAACACTTGCCCCATCTATACCCAGACGATGTGGGATTATGCACCTATACCACACTGGCGCCATCTGCACACCAGCCCACAAGGTTGCCACAATCAACCCCCTTTTGGGGGGCCAACGTCCTCATTGGCTACACTTCCGACTAAATCAGACTCTGATAACATTTGTAACAACCCTCACCCTAGCCAGACACAATATTGTCCGCTTTTGACTCTCCCGAACCAGAAACTTCCAAGGGGGTCACCCATTGTGGGCGGGTGTGTGTGAGCGTGTGCAGGTGCATGATCCCACATCGTTTAGGTATAGATGGGACAAGTGTTATAGGTAAATTCAACATTTTTTTATGATACAACGCGTTTTAAAGCTGTGATGACCGTGAACTCACTAGAACTCCAGAGTTAAGCATGCTTAACCTGGAATAATACCAAGATAGGTGACCCCCGGGAAGTGTGTGATCCGAAGGAGCCAAAAGCGAAAATTATTGTGTCTAGATAGGATAAAGGTAGTTACATGTATGATGAGGCTTTCCCCACCGGCATCGACGGGATGTTGTCCATGAATGTAATATCGTGTCATCTCTAGATCAAAACCCTAACCTTTCGAATTATTAAACTTTTTGACAAAGTGACAACTAAAGATCAATTTAGTTTCAAAATTGATGACTATTCATCTTTTTGAAGCCACTTTAAAACCTATTTGTTTTTTTATTTTGAAAATTTTATCTTCCCACACACAAATACATACATACATAAGTATGTATGAAATTTATATCTACATATAAATATGTTTATGAAATCGATCTATATATATATATATGTATATATATAATATGTATCCAAAGAAAGAAATATAGCAAGTATTTAGACTCTTAGAGACAACCTGACTATCTTTGCTGCTGGCGAAGTAGATAACACGGCGATCGGGTAAAAAGTAGGGAGGCCTGAGAGGAGATTAGTGTGAGGGGGTGTAGTCAGACTTTAATGAGCGGAATACAGGGCGGAGATGCTGTCCCAAATTTGGTGAGCTGCAGAAATAGAAAGGTAGAAATATAAAAAAAGAATTCCAGATTTTCTAAACCCAGCAACTGAATGGAAATCTTTTTGTTTAGTAACAAAATCAATTTTGGAATTTGTATCTTCTAAGCCCAAACGACAATTATTGGAATAAAATTTCCAGATTTGCACAACTCAATAAATTAAACACCAAATCTCAAATCTAAGCATGGCATTGTTTATTGCATATATGTTTAATATTATTATCCAATTAAAAGCTAGAAAAAAGAGGAGTTATGCCTGAGGCTTGGCCAAATCTGGATAGAAATTTTGAAATTAACTTTCACAAACACCCCCAAAAACTGTGTAAAATGGCATTGCTATCCCAAAAATTTTAACGCCCTCTCATCCAAAACATCATAATTGTATAAGGACGAAATTACCCCAATTAATTCCCCAACAACATCAACACCCTCACCTTCCCTCATCACACACACACTCCCCCTCTCTGTATCTTCTGCCACCGGCCACCTCACCACCATTGCCAGTTGAATACAGTATCAACATTTTGTTTCAAATGAGAGCCATGATAGAAAAAGAGAGTCACACAAACAAAGGATAAAATATCTATATGTACACGCACACGCACAAACCCTAGCCCAGTACGGTACATAATAACTTAAAATTCACCACCGTAATGTAAGAAGTTTAACGATAAAGAAAAAAATAAAAATAGATGGAGGATAAGAAGGCGTCGTACCAGTCACGAAATAATAACTTATTCGCTCAAATAAGAATGGGTAAAAAGGGTTGTTGTTATACATGAAAAATCAACCATTGATTCGTAAACTGCTTCTCTTTGCAGGGAGTGCATAAAAGAAACAACGTTACATAAGAGGATAAATGAAAAAGGAACAAACTTTGACAACCAGTTCTGAAAACCCTAGCAAAGTACAGAATAATAACTTAACGCTTTGTTTGGATGGAGGGATTTAGGTTATGTTTGGTACGGTGGGTTTGAAGAGAGAGAATAACATTAGTCATGAAGGAAAGGGAATGGAAGGGAAGGGTAATTTTAATCCCCTATCGTATTAATGAATGGAAAAGAAAGTAAATGATAATAATCATGTTTGAGAAAAGAAAGTAAATGAAAGGAAAGAGAATTATTTTAATAAATTTATTATTATACCCTTTTATATTTTAAAAGATAAATTTAAATATATATATATATATATATATATATATATATATATATTGTCTCTTATATAACGGCCTATGGATCGGCCACCAGAAAAGGAAAAATTTTTTAGGGCAAATCATTTCAGCCTCCATCTCTATTCTTGTTCTCAACTCTGAACTTGTTCTCTCTACAACTGCAAACTATTACAAGAATCAGAAGTTCAAAACTCATAAATTTTAGTTTATATATTTGTCTGCAATAATCAAAAGTTCAAAACCCATATCGACATCATTTCAGATTGTTCAAAAAATCAAAACCCATATCGATCTTTCAGTTTCCATCGCCCGCTGTTATAATTTGGGTTCGTCATTCGCAAGCTTCAGCCGCTGCCCTCTTTCTCTCAACTCTCAAGCTTGCCCCCCTTTATCTCTCTGCAACTGCTAACTTGTACGTATGGGTTTTGTTTTATTTTTATTTTTTCTAAATCAACTAATCAAGGTTTGTAATTCTTGTTTAGCAAACTAAATTCACGTGTAATCAAGGACAAATTTGGCATCAGAAATCACATACCAAGCCTCTCGTTCCCTTTTCCTTCCATTTCCTCCCATTTTTGGGAGGTTAAGAAATTTACTGTTCAGGCCTTGTGTTAACCCTCCAAAACCTTTCCTTTCCTTCCAACCATTTAAGCCAAATACAAATTTTTAATCACCCTCCATCACCTGCCCTTCCCTTTCCTCCCTTTTCCATTGCACCAAACTGACCCTAGAGTGATTTTGGAAAGAAAAAAAAGGAAAAGATAGTGTATAGTGTGTTTGGTTGAAAGGATTTGGAAGGATAGTCCCTCAAACAGAATCCTCCAAATTTGACAAGATTTGGAAGAAAAAACAAGATAACCAAGTTAAGTAAAATTTTCATTAAGACAAAACTAACATTCAAAATTCTATACACAATATTTTTATTACATTGAAGTCCTAATAACATAACACAATAAAAATTTTCATTAATTTTTACTTCATGGAATGGACCTATATAAGTCTGGTGTAACCGTTCCACTAGGCTTTCCCCCTACACACATTGTACGCTGGGAGCAGTCTTCCCCACCTTTGTAGAAGTTTATATGCTGAAATACTCAAAGGAGAGTTATGCTACAGTAGCAGGTGCTGCAGGACCTTCTCGGCAGGTAATTGCTCCTCTGGGCACTAAAGCTATCACCAAGAATATGATCTTCACACACACACACACACACACACACGATATATCTTAGAAAGTTAGACTTTGAAAACAAATTATTTTATTTAGATTAGATACAAAAGTGAAAGATAGTATGGCGTGTTATTTGCACATTACCTTATATATATATATATATATATATATTTAAAAAACTTTTTTCTCTAATATATCTCTAAACAATTTTTTTAAAAAAACTTTGAAAATTTGTACACTTGACCAAACAACATATTTTAGAGTCTTGACAATATAATGATAATTACTTTGAATTTCATAACTCCTACCAAGATTAGTTTTATATTTTAGAGTCTTGACAATATGATTAATTTTTAAAAAAAAAATTTGAAAATTTGTACACTTAACCTTTTATCGTTTTCCTATATACACTTGACCAAACAACATATTTTATAACTCCTACCAAGATTAGTTTTATATGTTGAACCAAACAGTCAGCTAATATTCTATCATCCCTTATATCTCAATAGCAAAGTCAGGTTACAAAATTAGACTCATTGCTTTGCAGTTCAGTTTAGAGTCTCAGCGACTCAATGTCAAAGTTTCAATGACCTACTGATATGAGCATAGAGCTTGAGAGACTAGGAAGAAAACAGAGATACATCGACCCAACCGTGAGCTTTAGTTTCGACGAACTTCAATTTTAGTAGGCTACAGTCCAGTCAGATGTACAACTTCTGATACCAAGATCGTTGAGGGTACAAATTGAAGTGGACGAAGCTACAACAGTCACCGGCGAGTTTTTCCCAATCTTCGTTGAATTCAGACACCCAATACCAACTAATGAGTACCAGACTGAGTATGCTCTCGATCATATCCGTGAGCTTGATGGATACATATGGTTGAATTGATGATTTTATTAGATTATTTCAATTATATATTGATGAGAATGGTTGAATTGATCAGTTAGATTGAATTGATGTGGGTCGGATTTGAAGAAACGATGGGATGGAGGTTATGAAACTCAGAAATTCTCTATTTTCGCAACCTCATCAGCAGCAAGAAATTCTCGATCCGAGCCAGCGAGGACGACCCAGGCCTCGAATATGCCGACCGGATCCTCGCCGTCGTCAACACACTCCTCGTCGCCGAGAATCGGTTCAACAACCTGGCATCAGAGACGAGCTTGAAGGCTTTGTCGGCGAAGGCGAGCTTATTCCTATTAGGGTTCAAGAGAAGTGCGAGTCGGTGGTACTGAATGGCGATCTTGAATATCTTGCTGCCAATGAGATGCGGCTGGTGAGGAGCTTGTTGGCGATAAAAATCATCGCTCGACCTCTGCTGCTGCTACTGTTGTGGGTGCTCCGTTATGTGTTTTTTCTGATTCATTTTCTTTTGGATTTGTATATAAAACGTCTACGTAAGGTATCTTATGGTGGAACAGGCTGGTCATTAACAGAGGTGTTAAGTTTTTATCGATGGGGAAGAAGACTCAAACGACACCGTTTATTTCTTATCTAATATATAGATTGTAATCAAGTCTATAGCCAAACATGAGCTTGGAAGGCAATCAGGGCATTTAATCTATTTTTTTTGTTGAGGTCAACAAAAACTATCTCTGAACAGCTTTGACCGTTGACTGAGGGGGGAGACTGATGTGTGTCAGAAAAAATAGGGAGCCTGACTGAATTTTTGTAAACGTGGGGAAATTCTTTGAAGATTGGACAAACCACAGGGGGTGTAACTAAAGTTAACCCAAAATGCAATAACAGTTTACGGATTTGGTTTTAGCCTGTACTAGAATTTAGGTTTAAGTAAAAGTCAAATCTTACCCACCCTAAAAATACTTAATCAAACAAATAATTAAAAAAATAACGTTTTGATTCAAACTAAAATTGGATGAAATTGTACATATCCTAATTTTTATTCTATTTCTCAAACTTTTTTTTTTTTTTTCATTTTTTGCAAAATATATAGAAATTTTGTGAATTTTTGTTAAATTTACAATAATACCCTCTATTTACTTATAAATTTTTGGCATTTCAAATAATATATATTTTTTTATATAACTTTCTTTAAAAAAATTCATACTAATAAATTGCATGTTGGAAGATTTTATTTAGTTGTTTTTTCGTTCATTTTACTTTTTTTAACTTTCACTTTTTTGCTACTACATATTAATTTTCATCTAAGTTGTGAAATGTTACAATAATATCCTTTATTTTACTTACAAAATTAATGCATTTCAAATTATAATTTTTATTTTTGTAACTTTCTTCAAAAACAAATTCATACTAATGAATTACATGTTGAAAGATTTTATTTTCTTATTATTTTTGCTTTCACTTTCACTATTAATTTTTATGTAAGTAAAAACACTCTTGAAAAGATTTAAGAAGGGACATTATTATATTTTTCTTGCGCAGTTGTCATCATAAGTATGGTAGAAGCCATTATCATAGGGCCAATAAATTAATAAAATGATAACTAGATTGAGAACGGGTAACGAGATTTGTAAATGAAAACCCACAATAATAGTCTTATTTATAAATAGTTTATATATATATATATATGACTAATAAATAAACATTGTCAA